GTTTTAAAGGAACAAATAGCACAAGTGACCAGATGTGAAAATAAATGCCCAAGTCGACGGTTAGTGTGTGGTGCCAAATGGGAGATGATGCATAACAGTGGTAGGTCACCAGCTCAGACGTCAACGGAGGAACAAAGGGAGGTGGAGGCGTGTGCGCAGTCTGCAATCACAGGGGCCAGACATGCTCTGAAAGCTTTTTTTAAAAAAAAGGAATCAGGGCATCGTGTCTGCGACAGAAGACTGATTGATTTACTTCCAACAGCGAGCGCTTATTGGAGTGGAGAGAAAGCTCATTTACTTCCCTGCTGTGATGAGCTGCGAGGGCACTGCAGGTAATAACAGTGCAATGGAGTCCTGCACCTCAGTGGTTAGAGCACTCGCCTCGCAAGCGAGAGGACCCTGGTTCGATTCCCGGCGGCGGAGGTGGGGGGGACGGGGGTGACAAATCCGTGGGCAAGTTACTCCACACGTTTGATAATAATCCCTCAAAAAACAATAACAATTTGGTCACTCAATCCGTCACTGTTTGTGGGACTCTGCTGTGCGCAATTTGCTGCCTCCATTCGTCCACAAAACATACAGTCAATTCACTTTACAGTCTATTCATCTCAAAGACGTGATGAGGCGCTATATCAAATGCAAGAATTATTATTATTTATTATTATTACATTATTAATAACACTACCGGAGCTCCCGTTTGACCAGCAGCCGCAATCAGGTCATGACTACAGTTGGTACACTCCTTTCCTGGCAATTCAGAAAAGCTCCAGGAAGTCTATTGGGCTTTCTGCTTGCGAGTAAGATCGACAAACCCACTGACATCTGCAGCTCTTATGGCTTATGATCCCAATGACATATGTCCAAACTATTGCTGGTGCTGTTATAGCTATCAATTCTAAATACTTTTCTTAGCCTTTTTACATCTATAGAAAGATGATGCACTGTACACGAGACACTACCAGAGAGCAAATTTTGGTACCATACACGTTTCGAGGAGCAAATCGAAACAATTTCATTCCTATTGAATGATACATTAAGAGCTATATAGGTTTCCACACCTCAAAAGGGGTTTCTGCTGCCCTGTGCCTCTGGGTGTGGGCCACTTAATGCCAACACAAGTGCAGCAAAGACAGGCTGATTTTTATTCTGCAGTTGCGCCAAAGAAATGCAGATGAATGCATCGCATGCACAATTCTTTATGTCAAGCCACAACTGCAGTGGTGAATCAACCTACAGCCAGCCAGCCGTTATCAGTGCACACAGCCACAGCCCTTGTTCACCCCACTGACACACACAGTCAATCAATAATTTATTAGCTCTTACTCTCTGAGCACTACGAACAGTGAATTCTTAATCAGACACTACCCGTGCCCCCCACCCCCCCCCACCACCCTCTGGAGACATTCATTTGTTTTCTTCCAGACACAAAAACCTGGCATAAGTCCAAAAAAACAGGACAAAGTACTGGTTTCCTCTTAACAATCCTTATAATAATATAATAGCAATTCTTTGCTTTTGAGAATAGAGTCTGTATTTGCAGTTCAAACACCTCAAAACATTTCAGAATGAATTGTTTTGAAACACAATGACCGTGTGTTTGTAAGGAAAAGCAGTGTTTTATATTGTGTGTTTTGTAGATGACAGAATCTCACAAACAGCCATGGAATAAATGACCGATAATCAGAAGGCTCTGTTGATCTGACACCAGGAGAACCTGGCTTCTCCTGGAGACGTGTCACCATGCTTAAGAGTATCCGAACCAGACTGAGAGTTCCACGTGTGTATGCCGCTTACACGTAGAAATCTCCTTGTGCCTGGATTGGAATGTGCACTTTCTTCCTGGGGGCCATAGTGGGCCGGATGGTCCTAGCTAGCTGGACAGGCTATGGCTTTGGCTGGTAGGGTAGCTATTTTTTCAGGCACCGTTTCCTTTACTGTCGTTATTCATGACCTGCAAGTAGCATGAAATAGGAATTGGGTCGTGATGAAGCTCATAAGAAGGTACACACTATCTGCATTTGGGCTTTGTCTTGCAGGGTTAACAGGGTGAAGGAATGTCTGCTCCTAGTGTCTGCCTTGAAGATTAACGTCCCACCTAGAACAGGTTGGAAAAATCAAGGGCACCAGCGAAGCATGTCACGCACCCTTCAAGCCACCTCTAAGTACCTGAGCTGTTGCGAGGAATAAAATTCCCCATCAACTGGAGGTCCTGGTCAGGCAACGTCTGACACAAGATTAATAATAATAATAATAATCCTTGCATTTGATATAGCGCTTTTCACGTCGGGAGGACGTCCCAAAGCGCTTCACAGAACACACTGTAAAGTGAATTGACTGTATATTTGTGGGCGAGCAATGTTGGTGGCAGAGAACAAAGAAACAATTAGAAACCCTACCTACCACATCAGGTTTTGTGCACAAGAAACGGGTAACAAACCCTAACCAGCAACAGAGTTGGTTTTTATTTGCTGAACAATCGCACAGATAATGAAAGAAAGAAAAAGTTACACTAACATAAACAGTCACTCCACTCATTCCATGGCTATTTGTGGGTTTCCCCTGTGAAGCGCTTTGAGAATCGATTGTACGATAAAAACACTATATCAAATGCAAAGATTATGATAAAAATAACCCACTGATCAAAGCACCTGAGCAACATGTCAGCAGATGGAATGAACATCATGTGATTTCATTTTTTAAAAAAGCCTGTGTTTACTTCTGATTTATTCGGCTGATGATTGATCTATTCATTGAATTCTGCCCGAGTTAAAGAGTCCAGCCTTCAAGACGCGAGTGGAATTCCGGGGAAGATTTCTTCCTTCCTCCCAGAATACAGTTACCAGTTACCAGTTAAAGACTCTCTAAACTCTGCAGAAAAGCCAGAATTATTTGTGATTCTGCATGTCAATATTTTTCTTGAGACCGGAAAAGAAAGAAGTGTGCACTTTCTTTCCAATTAAGTCCTGCCCTACGGTGCAGAGAGGCTGGGCATCACCTCCAGGTCTCCGTGAATGTTGTTCTAAATGTGGCAGAAGCTTGGGGCTTCACATCAACATTGGGGCTTGGAACTCATATAGTCTAGGCTGCCACTCCAATGCAATGCTGGGGGTTTTCTGAGTTGTTGGAGGTGCCGTCCTTCGGATGAGACCTTAAACCAAGCAGCCGTCTGCGTATTCAGGTTAATGTTAAAGATTAATGAAAAGAAAAGGGAATTTCTCTCTGCTGGTGTCCTGGCCGACAACCCCCCAGATAAAATGGGTCATTCACTCCATAGCTGTTTGAGGGACATCGCTGTGCACAAACTGGCTGCTGCCTTTGCCCAGCACCTAACAGCTACCACTATATAAAAAAACAACTTGCACTTATATAGCGCCCTCCAAGCAGGGTAGGAGCCTGACTCCGAGCCGGGGCGGGGGGGGTGAGGGGGGAAGTGGCTGTAAGCACAGTCGAAGAGGAAGGTTTTCAGGCGGGACGTGAAAAAGGGGAGAGCGGGGGGAAGGCAGAGGAATTGAGGGAGAGTGTTCCAGAGTTTTGGGGCGTAGTGGCTGAAAGCGCGACGTCCGATGGTGGGGTGGAGGGTGTGAGGGACGAGCAGGAGCCGGTGCCAGTCGAGCGGAGGTGCTGACCGGGTGGTGGATTGGGGAGTGAGGAGGTCGGAGAGGGAGGGAGGTACCAGGGAGTGAAGGGATTTGAACACGAGAGTGAGAATCTTGAAGTCGAACAGCTTCATCCAAATAGGGTCCAATGTTCATTTCTCACCTTTAAATATTTAATACTGAAAGCATTACGTTTGCCTGTTCAAAGTCTCGAAACCTTAACAGGTTTCCTGAAAATATCCCCCACGTGTTTTCCAGTGCCACTTATAGAGGAATTGTTCTAACCATAGATGACAGAATTTCTTGGAAAACATCCAGAAACCTTCAGCAAACCAAGCTGTCGGGCAATTGATGCAAACTGTCCAGCTGCTTTTAAAACAAGATAGGGAAAGTACCCATAAATATAATCTAAATAACTTTTCCTTTTTATGCTTTCCTAACCTGACAGTCCCTTTTCACTTTAAGAGAATTAAAGTTTTCCTTCTAGTTTTTAAGTGCTCCTGGCAGCTGGGAAATTATTTTCATTTGTGGGCAATTATGAGGTTGAATAAATTCACAGTGCAGTTACTTGATGATACAGTAAACTTTTATACGGTCTGAGGGATACCGTGTGCAAATCGTGTAGCTCAGTGGTTACAGCACTCGCCTCGCAAGCGAGAGACCTGGGTTTTATACCTGGTTGGGCAAGTTGCCTTACTCCACACGCCTCTATTTACCCAGCAGTAAATAGGAACCCGGTTGTTAGTCAATTGATGGATCGCTTTTCCGAGGGTAATAATTCCTTCAAAAAAAAATTCGGTCACTCAATCCACGGCTGTTTGTGGGGACGCTGCTGTGTGCAATTGGCTGCCGCGTTTTGCCCACAAAATATACAGTCAACTCACATTATGGTATATTCTGTGAAGAGCTTTGAGACGTCTCGAAAACGTGATAAGGCGCTATATCAAATGCAAGGATGATGTTCTAATTATAATTATTATTATTGTTAAAAAGGGAGAGCAGAAGACATTCACTGTGTTTGTAATGTGGCTGGTTCTGTATAGACCTGTCGCTGTTAGCCAGATCATACGGAAATGCCTATAAAATTAGTAACAGCTTGAAGCAGGGAGGGCTCGTGAATCACAGGGCTGGCAGAGAGCATTGTTCACCCAACAGAAATGATCAGAAGGAAAGTTCAGCTCAGAACGTACAAATGCACAGTGCTAAACATCAAAGCGTTAAAGCCATTGAAACACTCTCACAGAGACTTGAAGGGACACGACCACCATTTACACACACACACACATGGACACACACACACACACGGAGCAACATGGATAAAACCCAGATCGAGTTCCCCAGCTGCCTGTGGAACAAAAATAGGCGAGAAGTTTGAATGCGCAGTGGGAACTGAGAGCGCTGTACCTTTTTCGTTCACCATGACCATTTCATCAGGCGTATCTCCACTGTAGCGCAGTACAACAGGCTTCGCCTACACCGGCGACAGCGCTCTGAGGGTCCAGTCGTTTACGGTGAGCGACGTTTGTAAGTTGAACGTTGGTGAGTCTCTCTGAGCAGCCTGCAGCAGGGTGTGTGAGCCACTGATGGTCAGGAATTGCTGGAGCATTCCCCAAGCAGACTGTGCACAGCTGCTAGGTGGCAAATGCAAATTCCGATGGCCTCTATCGTCCTGCCCCTCAGTGACACAACTTACATTCTTTGACGGCAGGCAGGCAGGGAGGGAGGGAGGCAGGCGGGGCGGAAGGCATGAGAGCAGAGAGGATGGGCATGTCCCTACTGAGGTTATTTTTTCAATGTCAGACCTTTCCAGTTCTCAGATACCTAGAAACTGCTGGCAGCGGAGTGACTTTTCACAGATTCCTGTACCTGTGGGAGCTCGAGAACACTTTAACTTTTCCACTGGCATTCTCATCTCATTGTCACCTTTGTTTAACAGCCGAAGGAGAAAGTCAAATGTTTGTGCTCCTGGAAGTGGAACGGCACACAGAGAAACCGAACCAGTTCTTTGTGCTCACTGTTTAGGCTGCGCCTGCCATACTGTCCTGATCTCTGCGGCATAATAATAATTATAATAATAATCCTTGCATTTGATATCGCGCCTTATCACGTCTTCGAGATGTCTCAAAGCGCTTCACAGGATACAATGTAAAGTGAATTGACTGAATATTTTGTTATTGGGGGCGAGCAGGCCTAATCTCACTCACCAATGATGTTTAAAAACAAAGAAATTAGCTCTGAGGAACGAGAATTAAGCTAAAATCTTCATCCTTGAAAGAATTGTCTGGGAGTGGACCTTTTTGAGGTATACAAGACGTTTAAAGGGATAGAGAAAGTAAACCCAGAACAATACTTTCAGAAAGACAGAGGCAGTAGGACAAGTTGGCAACAGGTTCAGCGAATGTGAAGGTCAATCTTGAGACAGACACCATGAGGTATTTCTTCACATCAAAGATACCTTTGCTCAGAAAATACACACTCACTACACTTCATAGTAAATATCAGTGAAGCGCTTTGAGACTGCTTGATGATGTGATAAGGCACTATATCAAATGAGTGAATTGTTATTATCGTAATTAACAGCTGGAACGGATTACCAGGAGACTGCTGGAAACCACGCCATTGGATTTATTGAAGAAACAAATTGAACCTGTATTCTGTATTGAAAAAGTATTCTGGAAAGATAATACTTCTTCCATTTGACATAACCCCTTTCGGAGGATGCCTCAATAAGACTTCACAGGATTTAACATGAAGACAAGTGACTGTATTTTGAAACCAAATGGGCCAAAGGGCATTCATTATCCAAACCCATTAGACCTCTTGTGAAACACCAGTGTCAAAACCTCTCAGATCAGGCAGTGCAATGTAATCAGTTAGAGGCAATGTAGATCTCATAATATGCTCTGCATCTTCTTGCGATGCAGCCTAGCGCGCTCGAGTAAGTACAAGATTCGTAACTACAACTGCAAAGGATGTTTTTCTCGAATACCAGCATAACGTTTGCATTGCATCATCTATCCTCAGGCTTGTCAGGGAAATTACCCAATTAATTTTAATTGGGGTGACTTACAGGTCTGTTTTACTCAGTGTACGTACTTCGGGAGACCTGGATTGACACTGCGTAAGTGCATGTATTTAAGACTCTTTAACAACTGTTAGAAAGAAGTCTAACCTTCAGCTCATCTGTCTGGGCAGCAAATTAACCCATATCCTGGAGGAAAAAAAATACAATACTGGCCACTCCACCTAAACCTCACCCCCAATGTTTCTTTCTTTGTAACTTTTACCATTCTGAATCCGAGCACCGGCACGACATTTTAAACATCAACGTTTCTATTTGTGTTTGTGAGCACTGGTTCCGACAATGAAAGCTCCAAATCAAGCCTCACCCTTGTTATTCTATGATTGGCTTTTGCCCGCCAAATGGAATAATTTTGCCCTCAAAATGCACAGTCAATTCACTTTACAGTATATTCTGTGAGCACTTTGAGACGTCTCAATGACATGACAAGGCATTGCATCAAATGCAAAGATTTGATATAACCCCTTATCAAGTGCCAAATGCAAGTTATTATTATTATTATTCTCGGGTGAAAAACATGCTGAAGATATTGTTGAAGATTGAGCTCCACCCAATCCATAACTAAAGGAGGAAGTAAAATTTCTGAAAGTTTAATTTGTTTGCTTTTTCTTGACTTCCCCTGTTTTTGGTGCGTATTTTAAGACATTGTCTGACACCGAAATCGCAGCAGCTGGTGATCTCACTTTAAGGCGCTTATTTCGCCCGCAACAATGGATAAAAATGTAGAAAGCGCCCTTCAGTTTAAAGGACAAAGATGGAGTTAATCCCAAAGAAATGTCTGATAACATCTTCAACATTTTCAAGGGCAGAAATAGCACACTGACTCAAAGCTATTCCCGTCAGGTGGGAGGCAGTTGTGTCATGTGTGTTGCGTGTGAAGCTCAGGGTACCTTGACTGCTTGTCAACATGCCGTTTGCAAGCAGATTTCCCATTGCTGCTAGGATTCCACCCTATCCAGCCTCAACAACAACAGCAACAAATCCTTGCATTTTGCCTTCAGTCGTGGGAATGTCTCGGGGTGCTGAACGATGGCGTAGTTTGAGGTGGAGCGGAGAGAGAGAGGAGGGGTGACCGAAGGCACGGTCGAAGAGGAAAGCCTTCAGGCGTGATCTGAAAATGGTCAAAGAGGGCGGCCGTGGAGGAGACATTGAGGCAGGGAACTCAGCCAGAGGTTTGACGTGAATGCATAGCCACCGGTGGTGGAAAAAAAAGTTGAAAAGGCTTGAATGTGACTTTTAAAAAGTTTAATGCATCAGGGTGTTTAAACACTCTGAGATGCTACACCACGTGAAGGGCACTATGCAAATGCCAGTTGCTGTTGTACACAATCTGTTCACGATGACAGTAAAATCCTTTGAGACGTCTAAGATGACAGGTTTGGGTGCTGTATCAAAGGGATTCTTATTTTACTCTAAAGCACTTTGAGGCATTATTCTACGTGAAAAGCCATTCCAGAAGTGAAGCTTCAATCTTGGACAACGATCAAATTCACTTGTTGCTACAAAGTGAGTGTTATGCCAATGGCCATTCTGAACTTAAGAATTACTGACATTGTCAGTCGCTCTGGTTAGAAAAATGCAAACACACTGCCAAAGCAATCCCAAATTTCCAAGCACAAATTTGCAAGGACCTTCTCCTGACTTGAGCCGAGTATATATTAAAAAAACAAGTTGCAAGAATCATGCTCAGGGAATGAACCAAATTCAGGTGTTTCAACAGAGTAAATCCCATCTGTGTTTATTCGTGGAGTGCAGTATCTTTGAAACGTGCTTAAATAATAATAATCACCCTTGATATAGCGCCTGATTGCATCTTCGAGATGTCTCAAAGCGCTTCACAGACTACACTGTATATATAAACGGATCGATTGTGTATTTTGTGGGTGAAACGTGGCAGCCAATTGCGCACAGCGGCATCCCACAAACAGTCGTGGATTGAGTGATCAAATTATTGATATTTATTTTGAAGGCATTATTAAAGTGTGATGGGGAAGCAGTGCTATGAACACACGGTGTATTATTAAGATGGATGAACAGCCTGGCCTGATGCGTATCAGGAGAAAGGTTTGGGAACTAATGCTGCCGATCCAAAAAATTGCTTCCAACAGAATGATAGAACGCAAAATCCTGCAGGTGCTGGAAACCTGAAACACAAGCAGAAGTGTCTGGGAACACTCAGCAGGTCCGGCAACATCTATGGAGAAAGGAAAGTGAGTCAACTTTTCGGGTCCACGACCCTTCATCAAAACTGGAGCATGTTGGGAGGGAAAGGCTTTTAAGGACTAACCGAAGAGTCAGGAGACAGGGCTAGGAAGACAAAGGAGAAAATGGGGAAGAGGACAGGGGATGATGGGTTAAAGAGCTGTTAATGATGACAAAGGGGGGATTGCATCAAAACAGGGGAATAGAGGTGTTAATAATGCAAAACGTTGGGGGGGGGGGGGGGAATTGCAACAAAACAGGCAGGTCAGAGAGAGAAAAGGTGTGTCTGGGACCTAGATGATGTGGTAAAAGGTGTGTCTGACTCACTTTTCTTTCTCCATAGACGCTGCCTGACCCTCAGAGTGTTGCCAGTGACTTCTATTTTTGTTTCATAGAATTAGAAGGAGGCCATTCGGCCCACCGGGTCTGTGCCGGCTCTTCGAAAAGAGCTATCCAAATCAATCCCACTCCCCCGCGCTCTTCCCAGAGGCCTGCAAACTTGTCCTCCCCAAGTTTCAGAGTGATAGACAGTGCAGGTTCCATTCCTGTATTTACACAGCACACTAACAACACCTATTGACAGGAACAGAGTACTACACCAGTAAAATCCTGACCAGACGGATGCCCACATAATCTCTCGGGATACCGACACAGCGGGTGAGGCTGCGCGATTCTGCATCAGCAAAACCCCGAGACCAGACTACTAACCTGTGTCATGGGAAGATTATGGCGACATTTGGAAGATGTGAGAGGGGTTCAGTGCTCATAGGGTTAAAACCGATCGTCACTTGAAGCAAGTCAGAAATGGCACAAGGAGAAGCAGCATCAGGCTCAATCCTGACCGTCTATTACGGTGGCAGTATGCTGCAGTGTGTCCAATCCCCTTCTCTGATGCTTGACTGATGAAAGTTTGCCTGAAGGAAACTGTGGTTTAACACCCACATCATTCCTGAGCAATCGCTCACAAGTCACGGTGATTCTATCAGGGTTTTTCTTTGCTGGTCACAGTTGTGAAATAAATTACTGACAGCTCAGCGAGGCGACCAGAGAAGGAACCAAAAGAGGACACAGAGTGCTTCTGAGCCATCGGATGCTGCTTTTGGCACTCTTGTAACAAGAAAATAGCACGAGCCTTGCGCGATTGATTCACCCAAGGGACAGAGTTTACCGGATTGGAAAAGAGCAGTGTCTGCTCTTTGATCCAATGCACTATGGAGTCCTGTAGCTCAGTTAGAGTGCTCGCCTCGCAAACGAGAGGACCTGGGTTCGAATCCTGGCAGAGTGAAACGTTGAGCAGGTTTCCTTACTCCACACGCCTCTGTTTAC